CCCCTTTTTACATTCCCCCTCCCCAAAAAAACATTTTCCAGCCCGTGTGTGCAAAACCGGCCGTTTACGCCGCAGAGAAAGCCAGCGTGCAGACGCGGGCTGAAATTTTCAGAGGTGGCGTTTGAACCGCTCGCCGTTTAAAGGAAACAAAGCCAAGGTGCATTTAGTAAATTATTTCGAAGCGCTCCGGCTGCAGATGCAGATCTGTCTTGTGGCTTTATATTCCTGCCCGCCGGTGCCGCGTCCAAGCGCCCTCCCCATAAAAATCACTGGCAGCAGCGAAGCCTCTCATAACTTAAGGGAATCCGTGGCTTTTTCTACCCCCTTTTTTTTTTTTGGATTAAAACGTTGCTGAGGGCAGGGTTTTTGCGAAGGTTATTTTATTAGTTTACTTTTCCTAGGGGTGTTTTTCTTTCTAATGCGTTCCTGGATTGGGGGATTTAAAATGTTGTTGTTGTTGCTGTTGTTTTGACTTTCTTCGTGTTTGGCTGGCTGGGGTTGTTTTGTGGAGGTTCAAAGGGAATGTTAACTTTGCAAAATCTGATAATGACTTTACAATTGCTGCTGGTGCTTTTTTTTTTTTTTTGAATGCACAATTAGTATATATAAAAAACAAGTTGTAACAAGACATTTTTTTCAAATCTTCTCTTTGTTTACTCTTACCACCCTGTACCCCTTGAAGAACACCGAACAGCAAATGTGCCATTTTCTCCAGAGAAGTGTTCTCATCTCAGCCTACATGTGCAGTTAAATCCCACCTCAGTTCCTTTGCTAGAGGGCCCATGAGTTGCAGGACTGATGTGGTTCCCCCTGGCTGGGAGAGGAGGATCAAAGGAGGAATGGTTACACTACAGAGAGCAAGTTGGAAGCAGCGTGCTGGGTTTCTGTGCAGAGAGGGCAGATGACCATGTCCACATGAACGAAGGCTGCACCAGGCAGCAGCGTTTAGTCTGTGGAGCAGAGTCACTGTCAGGGTTTAAAATATAAAGAGCTGACTGTTAGGCTGACACTTGTGCTAGAACTGAGAATCCTGAAGGTTTTTTCCCCACTTGACCTCCACAAAGGAGGTCCCCATGGATGACATCTGATTTAGTTGCATCTTCAACACTTCCTACCCAGCCAGATACATCCCTCTCTCTGATATCTCCTGATTAATGTACACTGCTTCCCTCACCCCAGCTCCAGATTCTGTGCACTCATCTTTCCCCCATCCCCTCTCCAAATGTCCCAGCCAATACCTTCACCTTTTCCTCTTACTACATGGTCCTCAACATTGTCTCATCTCCAAAAGTTCAAGATCTCTTCCTCATGAGAAAAGCTGAGGAGGGTAATAATAACAACACAGAACTATTTGTGTTCTACCTTCCCTCTTTCCTTCCCAGGAGTGTAGGGGAGGTTGCACAGCAGTCGGGAGAAGTTCTCTGATGAAACAAGCCTTTCTCCATCTACAGGGTGCTTTTCTGTTGTTCGATGAAGATCCGATAGATGGACATCTTGGGAGGATGTGTGGGGTTTATTAGAGTACAGTGTCTCCTCTCAAAGGACTGAGGTCCAGACATTTCATGGCATTCAGATGACTTGAAAGCCAAATCCTTTTCTCAAAAATGGGGAAGGCACTTGGGAAATGGAGGCCAGGCCAAGAATACGACCTTTAGTTAGCAAAACCATATCAGCACAAGAAAATGAGTCATCAGCTAGAAGGTCTGCTTGAAGAAGTCAAGTACTCAGTGCTGTTCACTGTCTTCCACAAAATGCTGCGTTATCTTTCAGTCTCTGAAAACTGCTAGACTATAACTTCATCATTCTCTCTAAAAATATTTCCTATTCCACAAAAAGAGAGTATAAAGTCAGAGTTTCTCAGAGTGTCCTTGACTCTCAGAAGATTAAAAAATTACTTTGCTTACAGAGGAAGGTACCAATTATTTGAAGAATTTTCTACAAACCTTCTTTTGGGAGGATGCACATTTTGGTGCTTCTTTTTTAAAAATTCAAATTGTTCTTGAGTGGAAACATTCAGGGACAAAATGTAACACTCCACCCAGCTCCACTCCAGGGCCTGCCTTCAGAGCCAAATGTGAAAATGTCTCTCAGTGTGACCTTCCCAGTTGTGCAAATAATTTTTTTTTTACTCTTTGAGTGCTGCTTTTTTTCTTATCCTATTACATATTTTTAATAATTTTGTGTCAGAAAAAGTTCTTTGATTTTATTGTAAATATAAAAATTTTGGTTTTCAAAGTATGATGGAAAATGTTTTGATCTCTTTTTTTTTTTTCTCTGAATTATTTCCAGGGATGCTTTTCACCTAATTCAACTAGAAGTCATCAGTAAATTCTAAAGAAGCAGAAATACATATATATATATTAGCAAATAGAAGTAGATACCTGAAACTATCTGTCCGGTTCCATTCCCCTGACATCCACACACGTATGCAAGTTACTGGAATATAGGTTACTCTTGAACTGTGAAAAGGTACGCCACAAAAATTATAATTTTGTTGCTTCTACCTCAAAAGAAGATGCTCAGCATCTTCTCAACCTTTACACAACTGAAATAATAATGAAAGAATCTGAAGTGAACTCTAAGGAGTTTTCCAACACCAGACTCCGAAGAAAGATCTATGGAAGAATATTACAAAGATCTTTGACCTTCGTTTTGTTGGGTTTTTTTAAAATACCTCTCCAAAACTACTGAAGATAATTCTTGCTCAAGACGTCAGATTTTGCACAGCCTCACATACAAGGGCCTTTTCAAGGAGACCCTATCTCTTTTGATTCTGAGACTGAACCTTTAGATCACAGGATGTCTGATAAACCCTGTGGTCTTCCTGAAGAAATGCTAAGAAAGACAAAGAGAAGACTGATAAGCAAAATAACTTACCTCCAACATTTACCAGCGTTGCCATATTACTTGAACCAGAACTACAGCAATGTGCCCGGCAAATACTATCTCCCTGCAAAAACATTCTTCATTTCAAAAGCAGTACCAGTCTGTCTCTCCTTTTCATCTCTGCACTTCACATAGGGCCTTTGATCATCACTTGACTATGGTTTATTGCTAAAATTTGTTGAGTTTTTCATCGTCTTGCTAAACAGTGCTTCCTTCAAGGACAGTCACATTTAATCCCTCCTGGTACAAAACACACACATGCAAATCCCACTTCTCTTTATGTCTCAGCCCGTAAGAGAGTTTGAAATTTTGTCTTCTTTCAGCTTTCGTCAAGGTGGAAAATCAGAGGAATGCACAGTAATTGTAAATATATGACAAAATATTTTAATAA